GTTTTTTTGGTTGGGTTTGTTGGGGGGGTTTTGTGTGTATGTGTGTGTGTGTGTATGTTGTGTGTGTGTGTGTATGTGTGTGTGTGTGTGTGTGTGTGTGTGTGTGTGTGTGTGTGTGTGTGTGTGTGTTGTGTGTGTGTGTGTGTGTGTGTGTGTGTGTGTGTGTGTGTTATGTGTGTGTGTGTGTGTGTATGTGTGTGTGTGTGTGTGTGTGTGTGTGTATGTGTGTGTGTGTGTATGTTGTGTGTGTGTGTGTGTGTGTGTGGTGTGTGCTGTGTGTGTGTGTGTGTGTGTGTGTGTGTGTGTGCTGTGTGTGTGTGTGTGTGTGTGTGTGTGTGTGTGTGTATGCATGTTGTATGTGTGTATGTGTGTGTGCATGTGTGCGTGGTGTGGTCGTGTGTATGCATGTGTATGTGTGTGTATGTGTGCATGTGTTGTGTGTGTGTGTATGTGCATGTATGCGTGAGAGTTGTTGCGTGTATGTTGTGTGTAGTGTGTATGTGTAGTGTGTATGATGTATGTGTGATGTGTGAGTGTGTATGTGCGTGTATGTGTGAGTGTGTATGTGCGTGTATGTGTGAGTGTGTATGTGTGTGTATGTATGTATGTACGTGCGTGTATGTGTGTGTGTGTAATATAATCACCTGTAGGATGTGCAGTGTATCCTAACTCCTGGCATGAATCAAGGAGTAGTTTGCGAGTATCTCCACAAAAGGGAGTGTCCATGGGAAGGTGAAGAATTCCTGGAGGGTGGTTATCGGCACCGTCATAGAAAGTCTGATGACGCTTTGTGGTTCTGAAAACATCAAAACTAAATTCAGGGAAAATATAAATGCAAATCATTTTCCAGCCTTGGAAATATTTTCCATTTCATACATATCACTCTCAAATATAACACCCTTTTCTTCTTTTTTTTTCACTTTAATACCACTGAGAAAACAAAATTCTAAAGTTCCAACAAAGCCCTTAAACAAAGAAAACAAACTAGACAAAACTTTATATCAAATTATTTCAACTTCCTTTCCTCTAACTGGGGAACCCCAACTGACACACTAAAACAAAAATATACCTGTCAATGAATTGGTCGATGATTACAAAGTCCCCGGGCTTGATGTGTTCTTGCAGTGAACCACATGCTGTCGACACAACAACATGCGTGCAACCCTTTTCCTTTAGTGCCCATAGATTGGCTCGGTAGTTCACGTTGGTTGGCATGATGGTATGTTTCCTTCCATGCCTGAAAATCAGTAACAGTCTATCAACAAAATGTCTAATCATAAATAAGAAGGTGAAAGAAAGAAGGGGCAAGACAGAAAGGGAGAAGGTGAAAGAAAGAAAGAGAGAGGAGAAAGAGAAAAAGAGAAAAGAAACTGAAAAGGGTGAAAGGGATAGAGGTTAAGAGAGAGAGGGTGAGAGAGTGAGAGAGAGAGAGGAGAGAGAGGAGAGAGAGGAGAGAGAGAGAGAGAGAGAGAGAGAGAGAGAGAGAGAGAGAGAGAGAGGAGGAGAGAGAGAGAGAGAGAAGAGAGAGAGAGAGAGAGAGAGAGAGAGAGAGAGAGAGAGAGAGAGAGAGAGAGAGAGAGAGAGAGAGAGAGAGAGAGGAGAGAGAGAGAGAGAGAGAGAGAGAGAGAGAGAGAGAGAAGAGGAGAGAGAGGAGAGAGAGAGAGAGAGGAGAGAGAGAGAGAGAGGATGAGAGAGAGAGAGGAGAGAGAGAGAGAGGAGAGAGAGAGAGAGAGAGAGAGAGAGAGAGAGAGAGAGAGAGGAGAGAGAGAGGAGAGAGAGAGAAGAGAGAGAGGAGAGAGAGAGGAGAGGAGAGAGAGAGAGAGGAGAGAGAGAGAGAGAGAGAGAGGAGAGGTGAGAGAGAGAGAGAGGTGAGAGAGAGAGAGAGAGAGAGAGAGAGAGAGAGAGAGAGAGAGAGAGAGAGAGAGAGAGAGAGAGAGAGAGAGAGAGAGAGAGAGAGAGAGAGAGAGAGAGAGTGTTCACTGAAATTGATTAATCATATATAAGAACTTAAGAGTAACTAATAGCAACAAGAGTAATAGTATTAAAAGTAAGTCATAAAAGTACAAACATAAATATCAATATTAACAATAATGTCAAAACAACAAGAACAATAGTAATATCTGTATTTACAATAATTATTGTTGTTACCACTAATAACAGACCAACAGCAAAAACAAAAACATTTCTAAAAATACAAATAGAAAAAAATCAAAGTAAAACAAATATAATAAAAATAACAATAATAGCAATGATGATAGTAATAATAACATAAATAATGATGATAACAGTGACAATAGCAATAACAATAGGAATAGGGATGATGATGCTAATTGATGATGATGATAATTATAGATGATAACTAATGATGATGGTGGTAATCATTGATGATAACTGATGATGATGATGATGATGATGATGATGATGGTGATAATATGATGATGATTGATGATGATAATGAATGATGATGATAATGATGATGAATGATGATGATGATGATGATGATGATAATTGATGATGATAATAATTGATGATGATGATGATGATATGATATGATGATGATAAGTGATGATGATGATAATTGATGATGATTGTGGTGACATAACAGATGAGAATAACTAAAATAAGAACAAAAAGCAAACACACATACAGGATATACATATCTGATCTAACCAACCTTGCCAGCAGCACACATGGTACCCCATTTATGAGACCTTCACGCAGCACATCAGATGGATCTCCATAGGGGGTCTGAACAGTGCATTCGCTGGTCTCCTCAAACAGGGATGGATTGTTCAGGCCTGATCCACCAATGATGCCAATCTGTACAAGGAATATGGAACAACTCATCTTAAAGATCATATAGTACGTAATGGAAAAAAATACTATGTAAATGGATCCACAAGATGGTAACTGGAATATAATACCGCTAATACCGAAAGGAATTCCTTAAAAAATGGTCATACATAAAGGGTTTGACACAAAATAATACCATGCCTTTAACAGTTAATAGAACATTAGATGTAATAAAAGCATATAATAACCATGCTTACCTAAATGGCAACTTGCGTTAAAAAGTTTACAACTTTGTAATTCTCCTCAGGCTTATATTGCATCTACATTGAGTTTCTTTCCGTGTCAAAATCCTGTTACTCTTACCTACACCAATTGTATATCGAAAGACAACATACGATCTGACACTTACTTTTACTGTACTCATGTTGACAGCTGTTTAGAGGAATTTTACAATACTATTATCAGCAATAACAGCTTATCTGCAGCCGGTCAGTCCACCAGTGTGTTTAGACTACGGATCCAAGTGAGTTACGTGAAGTGACCCTTGATGCAATACCCTTAGCAAGGGATTAGATATATAAAAGTCCCTGTATTGATAATTCTTGTATTGTTTTTTTATATATAATTTTATTGCTTTTCTTATGTACATTTCTGATAACAAAATGTCAGTATCTTGTTAACAAAACACAATAATGGCAACAATGATAAAGACAAAAAGGGCAATCACTCTGCCGGACCCACCGATCAGGGAAGATCCTCGTACGGTAGGAGTCCTACCCTGACTTGGGGATCTCTAGGCAGAATAATGAGAAGGCTGCAGGCATATGCGATATCCCTGTTGTACTGATAAATGCTAGGGGTGAACTATGACACAGGGCTTTATACTGTCCTGTTTTACCATTTGATTGTCCGGTTCCATTCCCCCTGACCTGTTTAGGGGCGTGGTGATACTTCCTCGGAAGGGGAAAGGAGATCGTTGAGACTGTGGCAACCAACGTGGCATCACATTGCTAAGTATACCATGCAAGATTTTCGTCCACATTCTGAAACGGATCCGAAGCTACCTACTATGACACCTACGACCAGAGAAGTCTGGATTCACTCCTGTCAAATCCACATTAGACTGTATCATAGCGCTTCGAATCATTGCGGAACGCTGTCGCGAGTTCGGCCGTATATCGACCTCAAGAATGACGAAGGCGTTTGACTTGGTGAATCGCAATCGCTATGGAAAATCCTGAGACCTAGGGTAATTCTGACACGGATTATTGGTTTAATAGCAAGCCTATATACTGGTACTGAAGTGCTGTAAAGTCTGGTGTAGGGAGGAGGACTGTCTAGCTTTTTTCCTGTTAACTCAGGAGTGAGACAGGGCTGTTTCCTTACACCAATACTTTTCAATACTTATATGGACTGGATAATGGGCAGACCTAATACCCAAAGTCACTGTTGAGCAACACCGGACAATATCAAGGTCACGGACCTCGACTTTGCCGACGATGTTGCTATCCTATCTGAGTTTGGAAATTCTGGTAGCAGCTCTTGATGCATTCAGCAACGAGGCGAAGCCCATGGGCTAAGACCAAGATCCAGGATTTCAGCGACCTCATAGGAGAACCTGTTTAGTCGATGCATGCGTGCGACGAGGGCCCTGAAGTCACTGAGAGATTTACATACCTTGGCAGTGCAGCCCATGTCTCTGGGCTGTCAGACCAGGATGTCAGTGAACGGATTGGTCTGGCAGCAGGAACCATCAACTCAGTCAAGAAGAGTATTTGGAGGTGCCGGTACCTATGTAGGACTAAGTTACGTGTCTTCAAGGCCCTGATGCTGTCAGTTTTGCTCTATGGAATTGAAATCTGGACGCTATCTAGTGCCTTGGTGTCGCACCTCTATGCATTTCGTAACAAGTCCCTACGCCGGTTCATGGTGTACAGTTGGCAGGACCATGTGTCCAACCGACGACTACACCGTGAGATTAGCAAGGGACCTGTTACTTCCATAATCATTGACCCCCAACTCAGGCCATGTGGACACCTAGCTCGTTTCCCTGTGGATGGCCCTACCCAACAGGTTGTCTTTTTACGAGAGAATCCTACGTGGGGAAGGTCTGTGGGAAGACTTAGGAAGTCGTGGGCTTGGGCAGCTCGACCAGACCTGCCGTAGAGTGCTAGAAATAGACCTGCCTGGCGACTCGCTATGAGAGATACCCTTGGCTGGAAGCGAAGGGTGGATGTGGCTATGCGCCCCCGTCGGCCTCAGCTCCCTTGATGATGATGAATGATAGTAAAGGTAATGACTATTAGTGTTAATCACAGTAATAGCAATACGAGAAAGTAAAAAATAATCTTCAGATGCTTCTGCCTTTACCATTTCATAACAAAAGTGCTCTTTTATTCCTAATTAAATAACAACACTACTTAATAATGGTCATGAAAATGATGTTAATGATATTTATAATATTAACAACAATAATAATAATCATAATAACGATAATAACAATAGTAATAATAATGATAATGACAATAATGATAATGATCAATAGAAATAAATCGCAAATAAGGAATAAATGAGACGGATAATACATAATTTAGTAAATCAATAATGCAGAAAATTAATAGTGATAATAATCTTGTGAATAGACGATGTAGATGATAATATTAAGAAAATAAAAAATCATACTACTGTTACGTAATAACTAATGATACATAATTAGTAATAATTGCATAAACTGCATAATTAAAGTAATAATGAAAACAATGAATTAGTATTAAATGATACACTAAACCATAGGATAATCGGCGTAGCATCCAGTAATGATAAAGATAACTGATAGAGCAATGCAATAATCTGCTGATGGATCAGCTGATAACCAACAAAATGGAAATATTTAAATATAAGTAGGACGTAAATAGAAATTAAGTAATAATAACAAATAACAAGAATAATAATGGTGTCATTAAGAATGGACCTAGAAGAATTTTGAGTGTATCTACAAAATAATAAGTATGTTGATGCGAATGAATAAGATTCATTGAATATCAGCAAATACAAACTTTCAGTGTGCGTCTCAGTATTCGATATAAATAGGTGGTAATGAATAGTCACTATCTACATACCCTAATAGTGAAAAAAATGATCATCATTTCAGCATTAGTCAACGGTACCTGAGATAGTATGCCAATGCATGTGTACAATGTGGCGAATCACCCTAGAACAAAGTGATGATACTTGCGCCATATGATGGACTGGTGTAATCGTGGATAATGTGACAACAATAAGTAGCCTATGTAACGTGATGCCATGAACTCTTCAACAGTTGGATCGTAATAAATCCAATGAGAATGAAGAACCAAAGTATTAATGCGACCTACGAATTAAAAGAATGCTAATAACCTCCGCCAAGCTCCTCTGACTGTGCTCATCGCTAAAGTCACTGACAATAACATAGAATGATAAGCTGAAAACACTCAATAGAGCCTCGAATAACTAGGGACACGGAGCGAGATAGATGATAAACAGCTCACATATGCATGTAATGTGAGAGAGTAATGAGACATAGTAAATAAGCATAATGATGAAATGATTTAATAGGAGCTGATATTACAAAATATCACCATAAAATGATACGAATTATTCACCAGCCTGGACACCGTGCGAAGTGAACAATAGGAGCAAGACGTATAGAAGAGAGAAGCAGTGAGATAGGTGTGAACTGAATACACAATAAGTAATGTCTAATACCCATAGAATGAATCAGATAGGGATAGAGACTCAATCATGAAATCACTGATAACACGGAAGTGAAGCTAATAAAATGAATCAATAATAATGATGAGGTACATAGGATAGATATGATATAATAACCATGACGTAAAGACGCATGGCATAGAAGTGGCAGTAGTAAAGATGGAGTGAGTGATAATGGAGTGCATAATTGATCACCACTAAGAGAGATAGTGAATAAATAATCGATACGACATAATAATGAGATAACAACGTCAAGTAACAGATAAACAATGAACAGATAATAATGCAAATACCATGTAAATAAGTAGTACAATAAATCACAATTAAATGATAAGAATAATAACTACTATTTATGAAATGCATAAGGTGACATGAAGTCATGAATTTATTGAATAAGAATGAAACGTGCTTACGAATGGAGTTAGCGCGAATAGAGTAACCTAATCGTGTGAATAAGATTAACATAAACGCTAAATAACAGCACTAAAATAGTAAAACTCAATAAGATAAACTAGATAATGGCTAGATATAATGAATATCATTAATGATCATCATAACATGACTCAATGATAATAACAAGTAATATACCTGACAATGAATAAATGATCCAGATAATAAGTGATATGACTTAGTAAATCAACAAATGACCTCATCATTAAGGGATGAAGTTGTAGAGTGCACATGCGAATGACGGGATCAGTTGTATGAAATTATACAATTAAATAATAAGACCCATAGAATAAGACATAAACAACACTAGACAAGACCGGGTGGGCATCACCATGGACTATGGAATAAATGAGTAAATCGAAATGACAGAAATAAAGATGGAAAATAATAAACAGCCATGGTGAGGTCAGATAGAGAGATAAATCGATAAATGTACCCATGAGACATGACGCGCCGGTGCATGTCGAAACCACATGGTTCAAGAGATATCGAAACCAAAATCAATGAGTATATTATATACGAATAAAGATAATAGATAATAAGTGATAATTGATGGTGGGATGATGATTAGTAGTAGCTATAGCCTTATAATAGTATGCATGATGACTCAGTGGTACGATCAACTAGTAATGCATATTAATGTGCTGAAAGTAATGAATGATTAATATGAATAAGTAGAGAATAGTTATAAGATAGAGTACTACTACTTCATCATCATCTTGTTGCACAATCACACCACGGTGGCTCTACATGAAAGATCTTTCGTTTGCTTCCAAAAGATCTTCTTGTTGGTGAGACAGCTTGGAGTACGCACAGTCTCGAGAATATATTCCATTGTTTGAAGTGCATTAGGGTAGACTGACTTCCTGTTTTCCCTCGACAACTAGTATGTTATTAGTTTTGCCGATTCCAATTCTGACGGACCTGTGTTAGGACTACCCGTTCTTTCCTTCTGAATGATATTCCCTTCGCGAGATTTTCAGATGGTGCAGGGAGTGGCCCATGCGGTAGGATGTTACTAAATCTCCATCCGCTGCTCATGCCGATGTTGAGTAGGTGTGTTCTTGCGTGAGTCAAGCCTTCGCCGCATTTCTTGGTGACTATACAGTGGGTTGTCGGCCAGTTGCTTGTCCCGCTCTTGCTTGATGATGGCGTCACGTCTGATGGTAATAAATAATCATATGATGATATCAATAATGATAATGATGCTATCAGTAATGATATCAATAATGATAATGATGCTATCAGTAATGATATCAATAATGATAATGATGCTATCAGTAATGATATCAATAATGATAATGATGCTATCAGTAATGATAAATGATAATGACAAATTATAATGATAATGATGCTATCAGTAATGA